TGCATATAGAATGTAATTTTTCAACCTTTTTGAGGTAGGGAAATGGTTTTACGGGTTTTGCTCACGCGATCCTAGGCGGCCCTAATAATTTTATCGTGGCGTCGAGAGATGCGGAATTAAATTCTTCGTCGGGTAGTATTAAATAGTTGGCGGGAATCGGGTTGCAACGCGCTAAAATTTGCATATAAATGTAATTTTTCAACCCTTTTTGATGAAATGTTGTTTTTCGAGGTTCGCACGCGATCTAGGCAGCGTGAAGCCAACTTCGGCAGGGCGTCTGGAGATGCGGAATTAAATTCTTCATCGGATGGTATTAAATAGTGGCAGGGATTCGACTTACAACCCTCGAAAATTTGCATATAAATGTAATTATTCAACCCTTTTTCGTGAAATGGTTGTTTTCTCGGAGGTTGCACGCAGGCTACCGGAGCGACCTAATAGTTTATTGTGACGTCTAGAAGTATACGGGAATTAGATTCTCCGTCAGGTAGTATTAAACAGTTGCAGGGTCGACCTGCAACCCACTTGAAATTGCATATAAATTTGTAATTTTTTCAACCCCTTTGGTGAAAATGTTTGTGTTTTTCGGGTTTTGCAAGCGATTTAGGCGGCGTAAGTAACTTCAGCAGGGGCCTCCTAGAGATGCAGATTAGAACTTCATCGAGTACTATTAAATAGTGGCAGGAATTCGACTTGCAACCCGCGAAAATTTGCATATAAGTGTAATTTTTCAACCCTTTTTGGTGAATTGTTTGTGTTTTTTTGGGTTTGCATGCGATTTAGGCGGCGTAATAACTGCAGCGGAGCGTCTAGAGATGCGGAATTAAATTCTTCATCGGGTACTATTAAATAGTGGCAGGAATTCGACTTACAACCCGCGAAATTTATATAAGTGTAATTTTTCAACCTTTTCGTGAAATGAACATGCATTTTTTCGGGTTTGCAAGCGATCTAGGCAGCGTAGTAACTTCAGCGGGGCGTCTAGAGATGCGGAATAAAATTCTTCATCGTGCAGTATTAAATATTGCAGGAATTGGACATGCAACCCGAGAAAATTTGCAGATAAGTGTAATTTTCAACTCTTTTTGGTAAAATGTTTTGGGTTTTTTCGGGTTTGCTCGCGATCTAGGCGGCCTAGTAATTTTATCGTGGCGTCCAGAGATGCGGAATTAAATTCTTCATCGGGTAGTATTAAATAGTTGCAGGAATTCGGATTGCAACGCGCTAAAATTTGCATATAAGTGTAATTTTTCAACCCTTTTTAGTGAAATGTTTGTGTTTTTTCGGGTTTGCGCGCGAGTTAGGTGTCCTAATAGTTTTATTGTAACGTCTAGAGATGCGGAATTAGATTCTCCGTAGGGTAGTATTAAACAGTTCCAATTCGACCTGCAACCCGCGAAAATTTGCATATAAATGTAATTTTTCAACCCTTTTTGGTGAAATGTTTTGGTTTTTTCGGGTTTGCATGCGATCTAGGCGGCCTAATAATTATATCGTGGCGTCCAGAGATGCGAAATTGAATTCATCATCGAGTTGTATTAAATAGTTGCAGGAATTCGATTTGCAACCCGCGAAAATTTGCATACAAATGTAATTTTTCAACCCTTTTTCGTGAAATGTTTGTGTTTTTTTGGGTTTGCACGCGATCTAGGCGGCGTAGTAACTTCAGCGGGGCGTCTAGAGATGCGGAATTAGATTCTCCGTCGGGTAGTATTAAATAGTTACAGGAATTCCACCTGCAACCCGCGATAATTTGCATATAAATGCGCAATTTTCGACGCACGGTAGAAATGTTTTGGTTTTGGGTTTGCATGTGATCACAAGCCGGCATAATATTTATATCGTGGCGTCCAGAGATGCCAAATTAAATTCTTCATCGGGTAGTATTAAATAGTTGCAGGAATTCGACCTACAACCCGCAAAATTGCATATAATTATACAACCCCTTTTTGGTGAAATGTTTTGGTTTTTTCGGGTTTGCATGCGCTCTAGGCGGCCTAATAATTATATCGTAGCGTCCTGAGATGCCAAATTAAATTCTTCATCGGGTAGTATTAAATAGTTGCAGGAATTCGACTTGCAACCCGCGAAAATTTGCATACAAGTGTAATTTTTCAACCCTTTTTGGTGAAATGTTTTGGTTTTTTCGGGTTTGCATGCGATCTGAGCTGGCCTAATAATTATATAATTAGCGTCCACAGATGCGAAATTAAATTCATCGGGTAGTATTAGAATTGTTGCAGAATTCGACTTGCAACCCGCGAAATTTGCGCCCACAGGGTGAATTTTTCAACCTTTTTCGTGAAATGTTTGTGTTTTTGGGTTTTCCGCGATCTAGGCGGCGTAGTAACTTCAACGGGGCGTCTAGAGATGCGGAATTAAATTCTTCATCGGGTGGTATTAAATAGTTGCAGGAATTCGACTTGCAACTCGCGAAAATTTGCATATTAGTGTAATTTTTCCAGCCCTTTTTGGTGAAATGTTTGTGTTTTGGGTTTTGCATGCGATTTAGGCAGCGTAGTAACTTCAGCGGGCGATCTCGAGATGCGGAATTAAATTCTTCATCGGGTTTTATTAAATAAAATTGGCGGGAATTCGACTTTGACCCGCGAAAATTTGCTTATAAGTGTAATTTTTTCAACCTTTTCACCATTGAAATGGTTGTTTTCGGGTTTACGTACGATCTGGGCGGCGTAGTATTGTAACTATGTGGGCGTTTTAAATTTGCGGAATAAAATTATTCGTAGGGTAGTATTAAATAGTTGCAGGAATTCGACCTGCAACCCGCGAAAATTTGCAGATAAGTGTAATTTTTCAACCCTTTTTGGTGAAATGTTTTGGGTTTTTTCGGGTTTGCTCGCAATCTAGGCGGCCTAATAATTTTATCGTGGCGTCCAGAGATGCGGAATTAAATTCTTCGTTGGGTAGTATTAAATAGTTGCAGGAATTCGGGTTGTAACCCGCGAAAATTTGCATACAAGTGTAATTTTTTATCCTTTTTGTGAAATGTTTGGGTTTTTTTTGGGTTTGGACGCGATCTAGATAGCGCAGTAACTTCAGCGGGGCGTCTAGAGATGCGAAATTAAATTCTCCGTCGGGTAGTATTAAATAGGTGCAAGAATTCGACCTGCAACCCGCGAAAATTTGCATATAAGTGTAATTTTTCAACCCTTTTCGGTGAAATGTTTTGGGGTTTTTCGGATTTGCACACGATCTAGGCGGCATAATAATTTTATCGTGGCACCTTGAGATGCTGAATTCTATTCTTCATCGGGTAGTATTAAATAGTTGCAGGATTCGACTTTTTACAGCCCGCGAAAGGGAGTAGCATATAAGGGTGTAATTTTTTTCACAGCCTTACGGTGAAATGTTTGTGTTTTTCGGGTTTGTATGCGATTTAGGCGGCGTAGTAACTTCAGCGAGGCGTCTAGGGATACAGAATTAAATTCTTCATCGGGTAGTATTAAATAGTTGCAGAAATTCGACTAGAGATGCAGAATTAAATTAATTCAGTGAAAAAAAGAGAGAATCTTTATTAGTTTGGGAATTGATTTTTTCTTATTTCATTGAAGATTTTCTTTTATACACCCTAGCAAATAATTTTCCACTGATGTCACGCGAAACAGGGCGCAATTTACTTTATTTACTTCCAGGAGTGGTATCTTTTGAATTTCGCAGCCTTTAGCATAGCGCGGCTATGCAGGTCATAAACATGTTCAAAGAAATGACGTCCATTGTTCTCTAGATATTGAACTTACCAAGTTCTGGGATTTATATTGTATTTAATATATTTAATAAAAAGTGTAAAAACCTTAGTAAAGTAATGTCTTATGACTTGGCACTCTCCTTTCTATCATTTCAGGTATTTGGTCAGAACAGAATATTTCTTGGTTAGTTTGTCATGGTTCTAGAAAGAGAACTTGACACTTGGAAATATATCTACAAGTCCTTATAAGGAATGTCCTTATAAGGTTCTCCCTCAGGGCATAGTCCCACTATAAAATTGTTAAGGTATCCTGTATGATTTGGGTACTCATTCTTTCATTTCAGGTACAGGACGCTTGTAGAATATTTTTTAAGTGTCCCTTTCTTGAGATGACTTAAAACTTAGAAATATTTTGCAAGTCCTTAAAGGATGTCCTTATAAGGTTCCCTCTCTGGGATGATCCCCACCATAAAATTGTTATGCCTGAGTATTTCGGGGGATGACGCAGGAACATCGTAGCTGTGGGATGGGCCAGGGAGCAATAGACAGATCAGACGTAGATATATCATAACGACACGTGCCAAAAAATTTAAAAATTCCGTCACCCCTATTCTCTTTCCTTCCTGTGCTCTCTGCTCTCTTCTCTTTTCTTCTTACTTGTCCTATTCTCTCCTGCTGCTGCTCTCTTGACTTGCTCCTTCCACCATCTTCTACTTATTCCTATTGTTGCTCCGTTCTCTGCTCTTCCACTTATTTCTAACAATTGAATCTGTATTTCTATGGTATGCAACCCACATTTCTTAAATTTCTTATTATTTAATAAAACTGCCTTATACAACTGAGATTCGAACCATGAACCACAAATCTCTAGCATGCTAGCATATGCACATGCTCGCTGAGCCACCGAGCTCTCTTATCAAATATTATTCGTTTCAGCTATAAATGTTGTTGTTTTTGTCACCTTTTAAAAACAACAACATTTATGTACCTGTAAGTCGCATTTCTAACACGTACAATCAAATATGGCCTTTAAATCTAATTCTGAAAACGACAAAAAGGAAACATAGATAAATATGCTAGCAAATGTAATATTAAAATTATAGTTTATTGCAACTGATCAATCACATGTTTAATTTTAAAATTATTTGTTAAAATTAAATTATTTTCACCGGTTACCTCGCTTTTCCTTAATGTCTGATAAATTCATTTCGTCCCTGAAACATCTTCACTAATTGTTTAATTCCGTACCGGTAAGTGCGTATATAGAAAGAAACACAGAAACAATCAATGTCAATTAATATCTGTAAAAGTTGTATTGAGGGTTTTTGTTTTCGCCGCAAGAATTGCAGCCAATTTTTTTATCATAATCGCTCATTTTTTACAATAGTTATATTGATATTCATTATAAATAGTTTGAAACACACAACACAAGGTGCAAGCAAACATTAAAACACACACATCCTATATAAAGAGAAGTAACATACACATTAGTACATAGGGAAGACAACACAAGTCACACACAATTAAACAAAAATTCAACTTCAACATGAATAACACAAAGAACACAAAAAAAAAGAAAATCTATCATTGCGCGTTCTGCTGCCGAATCTTTTATAATTACCTTTTAACGCCACGTTGATGTTACTGCGCCGCCTACATCGCATGCAAACCCGGAAAATGCGCACTTTATCTTTCTTTCCCGCGATGCATGAAGGTCACTGGAACATGGACAAGACGGACGCCACTGCTGTTAGCCAAATGATGATCCTCGAGCAAGAACAAAAATCACGATTTATCAAATTAAAAACTTAAAATTAAACGATAGCAGCCGCAAGAAATACGCCTGACCTAACCAACGATCGGCAAAAAACTGCGCTGAGCACACTACGCAACGTAATCAGCAACGGCGTACAACAACACGCGATAATACTGCGCGCACGCCGGAATAAAACGCCCGCTATTTGTAAATAACAAGATCGCATGCAGGATGGCCAACTTAGGGCATGAAAAAAGGCAACGTTAGGGGGCGATTGTAATGCAGTTAGAGTGGAATTACGCAAAGAGCAAAAGGTACATCGTCCAAAACTATTCTTATAAGACTAGAATCCAAAAAAAATTAAAATATGACTAAGGGTTCGTGAGATATAACCCGTTTATAACCGATAGTTGTGAAAAATTTAACACAAAAGGCAAAGTCGCGGAATCTCGCAGAAAGCAAGGGGCATATATTTTATGTCCTAATCTAATAGAGAATTTTGCAATCTTTCATAATCAGCAATTCGTTGGTTGCTATCTCTTTTAGTTTAAGAGATATTAATTATCGAATATCGTCGTTAAAAATTATCAAGCACCCCCCCATGGCAATTTTTTCTTAAGAACTAAAATTTCATCTCTTAGATTTCCGTTTTACCTAGCTTATCATAAAGACAATCATACGACTTAAGAATGATATAGCTATTCAAGCATCAGAGAAAAGATACAATATGTGTTGTTGAATTAAATGTTACTTACAGAAGGATAATGATAAATAAATCTACATTGGGGCCATCCTGTATCAAATTGATTTAACGACTATCACCCAACCTTATAACTTGCTTAAGTGTGCACACGAACCGCGATCAAACAGTTTTGTACAAAGTATACATTAAACGCGGAATCTCATGCGTTGCATTCCACGCGGCGCAAGCCATAAGAAAGTAAATGGTATTCAAAACAAACACAATTCTCTTGTTTGCTGATAAATGTAAAAATAAACAATACTCGTACAATTCTATTTTATGAATTTAGGTTCATGCGAGTGCCATTTTTTAATGATACAGGTAGGAGTGCCAGAATTTAGATTATTAAAATTATTGTAATATTGAAAGAGTGCTTTGAATCAAGTCTATCTACCGCTACCTTCATACGGTGCCTAGAACACGAGTCACTTCTACCGCTAGCTTCGTAAGGTGTCCGGAATCGAGTCACTGCTACCACCACTTTCATACGGTGCCCTGAACACGAGTCACTTCTACCGCTAGCTTTGTAAGGTGCCCTGAATTGAGTCATTTCCACCGCTAGCTTCATACGGTGCCCTGAACACGAGTCACTTCTACCGCTAGCTTCGTAAGGTGCCCTGAATCGAGTCACTTCTACCGCTACATTCATACGGTGCCCAGAACACGAGTCACTTCTACCGCTAGCTTCGTAAGGTGCCCTGAATCGAGTCACTTCTACCGCTACATTCATACGGTGCCCTGAATCAAGTCACTTTTACCGCTACTTTCATATGGTGTCCTGAACACGAGTTTGTTACTTCTACTGCTAACAAATACAACCCGACGTAATATTTAATTCCGCAATTCCAGATACTACGCTCAAATTTGTGCAACTAGAAAACTTGTTTATGCACAAACAAATACTGATATGCGATAGTAGAATTCCGCGTGCAAAATCGCATTAAAAATTCCAAAACAATCGGCAAATCAAAGAATTACCATAAGTATTGTGACATACGCCTACTGAAACTATATCACCACGTGCCCCAGCATGAATTATATATTAATAACATATAATTATTATAATAAACAAACAATAAATGTACGACAATTAATCCACTAGAACAGGATTCCCGAAATATGACCGGTTTTTTACCGCTTACGCCTGTGCAGGCGTAGGAAAAACTATAGAGTTAATTCTGAGATGTTTCAGCAGGGCACGTGACTATACTGTTTCTTTGCAACACGCAGTGGAACGCGATAAAAAAACAACGTAAATACAAACTTACTATAAACTATATAAACTTACCAATGAAGAGGGTATCGGACTCCAAGGCACGGCAAATACAACAAATAAAAACGAAAACATTAGTTAAAACAAAGATATTTCATATGGTTTAGTAATATTATAATCATACAGTGGAGAAAACAAACAATGTGCGCTTTCTTTAAGTTACTTACATCAGCACGATAAGTCATCCTAATGACGAATAAATCAAAATGGTGGCGATATGTATCCGATTCACACTTTAAGCGCGATTAAAAACCGGCCGGATAATAAACGCGCAAATAATAAATAACATTACTATAGTCGTAAGTCAAAATTAAATAGTCGATTGATTTTCCAATATGATGCAAATTTAGAAAGAAGAATTCCGAACAAACGATACGAGTTGCGAGAAATAAGCCTGAATCAACCAGGGACTGGCACGACACTGAGGGCAATCCGCGGCTAGTACTTGCCGTAGCCAAGCATCGACGCGGCGACGAGTTATGATAAGAAAGTAAGAGATGCGCAAAACCGATGCGCCGATGGCGCGCGACCTTGTGCGCGAATTGCAATAGGCACAATACACGCGATCTAAACTATACTAGAATATGCGGCATGTGGCGTGAGGAGATTGCAACGACGACTCTCGGCAATATCATGCATTGCATTCCACGCGGCGGAAGCGATAAGAAAGTAAATTGTGTTCAAAACAAACACAATTCTTGTGCCGAATGCCCACGTTTGCCGATAAATATAGAAATGCACCATACAATTATATTTTATGATTTTTTTACTTTATACTAGTGCCATCTTGGAATGATACAGGTAGGAGACCCGGAATTTAGAATATTAAAATTAATGATTAAGATTACTTGTTTTTACATTAACTATTAAAGTGGTGTTTTGTAATTTATGTAAGATCGGATTTAATACCAATGTAAAAAACAGGGAGTAAGCTAAACCAATTTATTCAATTGACACAAAGTATGTATTTAAAGAAATAACAAAACACATCTTCACTAGTCGTACGCCAAAATTATTCTGCCCGCCCTTAGGTCAGAAAAGTGACCCTCAGGCCTCGCAACCATTCTTCCCACTTCTCTAATCTCATATTTTACAATCTTACAAACGTCTTCCCTCACACTCGGTACATCTCTAAAACTATGCATTATGCTAAGAAGTATAGGGGAGAGGGGGGCAAAGTGGGCCCCATAAGCGAAAAAAGGGGTTTTGTTTACTTTTTTTCACTCGTTACCCTATTTTTTACCTCCTTGTTCAGTATTCAATATTAACAAGCCGTGTCTATCAAAATAAAAAAAAATCAGAATATGGGGCAAGTGGGCCCCCGCCCATAAAAATTTTGCTATTACCTTTGTATCCATTTTTTGCTTATATATATATATTTTTTTTTTCATTTCTTACGTCGAATTTGTTGATGTGAGTTATTTTCCCCTCTTATTTATCAAAAATTTTAGGGGCCGTTTTTCCTCAATTTTTAAGCCACCTGAATTTCAGGGCCCACTTTACCCAGGGCCCACTTTGCCCCCTTCCCTACTTAATATTAGACTACGCATTGGTATTGGCCTATACCCATTTCTGATACTACATTGCGAGAAATATTGTTGCGGCTAAAATAAAAGTTTTTGCTGGTGAAATTGTGTTATGGCATAAAAAGGGTTGGGTTTAAAATGGAGAATAAAGTGGTTTTTAAGATGCGCATAATGCAATAATGAATAATGTACAAACAAGGGAAAGATTAACCCTTCTTTTCATGGCAGAATTTTATGTTTAAATTGCTTTGTGTAAAAAAACTGATGAAGGGTTTTTAGGGAGGTAAGATCCCTTAGGAATTTTGTAAATATTTTGATGGCATATTGTAGGTTTAGGAATTTAAAATATTTGTTGTAAATTTTATCAAATTTGGATAATAAAAAATTGAGTTATACGCATTTTAAGTTTAGAAAAAAATGTAGGGTTTTCAGGGAGGTAAGATCCCTTAGGAATTTTTTGAATATTTTGATGGCATATTGTAGGTTTAGGAATTTAAAATATTTGTTGTAAATTTTATCAAAATTGGTTAATAAACAATTGAGTTATGCGCATTTTAAGTTTAGAAAAATTTGAAGGGTTTCTAGGGAGGTAAGATCCCTTTCGAAATTGGTAAATATTTCAACGGCATATTATAGTTTTAGATGTTTATAATATATGTTATAAATTTAATCAAATTTCATCGATAAACAACAGAGTTATACGCAATTCAAGTTTAGAAAAATTTCTGGGGTTTTTAGGGAGATAAGATCCCATTAAATTTTTGTATATATTCAAACGTCATCTTATAGTTTTAGGTGTTTCTCATTAATGTTGAAAATTTCATAAAAATCCGTTAATAACTAACTGAGTAATGTTCACTCAAAATACGTGGAACTGTAGAATAGTAAAAGATGAAGATGGCAAACATAAAACAAGTCGAATTAGTAAATATTAATCCACCACGGCGCAGTAAACGAGTTGTTATTGCAAAATTTCTAATTGCGTTGTCAAATAAAAATGGCATCTTTGACCTCTGCGCTGATACAGCTCTCAACGGCTGAGCAACGTGTTATGCCTTAATTGTCGCTCGTTAAAATTATACGCGAATAAGAAATCCTAATCAGAAATTGCGCGCATATGCAAAACTCAATTTGGCAAATGGCCGGCGTGTACGCATATCGCTCATATTAAGGAAGTTGTTATCTCATGGATTTTAGTTTAGTCGGTTCGAAGCGTTTACGATGGCAGTGCCCGCAGAATGCAGGAGCGCGCGCGCGAGCGGTCTTGGCCCTTGGTCACGTTTGCTCACTTGCATCGCGGAAGAAGAAGACCCGAGAAGAGGCGCACGACCTCTCCGCCCGTTTCGCCGAGTGCACTCGCCGAGATTCTTTCTTGTTATCGCGTGCATGGTGTGCACTTGCATCAAACATCAAGTGCGATGCATTATGATACATCATGTGGTTACAGAAATCGATAATATATAATCATCAGCAGAAATTTTGCAAAAATATAAAAGTTTCAAGAGAAATAAAACCCGTAATGGATTTTTAAAATGTTTAAACGTATTTTGGTATATTCTGGTGTGTTTAAACCATGGTAAAAGTTTGGTTAAAATTGATTCATAAATTTCCTCAAAAAACGCTTTCTAAGTTGATTAAAATTTGTAGGGCTTTCGGGGTCATCAGACCCCAAACGATTTTTTAATTTCTTCAAACGTAATTCTTTTTCTTTAGCTCTTTAAAACTGATGGTAAAAATTTCAATTAAATCGGTCAATAAACAATTGAGTTATTCAACAATTAAAAATATACAAATATTCCCTGCTGACCATTTGTACAAACACTGATTCTAATACGATAATATCCGAAAGGAGAGGACAATGAGACGATCTCGATTGTCTTCATCTTCTTCCTCCTGATTTCGGTAACAACTAGTGCCCAACCGGAATGGGTTCCAGGGACCCAGGGCGACAGCGAAAAGGCGTTGCGTCGAATTTCGCCGATGCCATTGTACTTTCGGCTATTAGATGCGATTTATGGCGATCGCAACACGCCGAAACATGCCGTTACGTTCCGAGTTTTGCCGATTTTCCATTGGCACCAATTCAAGAAACACAAAATTAATCCATACATGGTTAGAGTCAAAACATACTGTATATTATAATAGCGTTTGGTGTAAAATTAGAAAAATTATGATTTTTGTAGTTTTATGATAATAACTCAAAAAGTATTTGAGATAGAAGAAATATTTTTTAGTAAAATCTGTTTGGAATTAAATTCTGGATAAATTAGCGTTAAAAGTGAATAAAATTAATAAATAAATAAAAAGTTATTAACAATTAAAGTAATATTTATCACAAAAAAATTAATAATCAGTATTTTTGGCTGTAATTTCAAATTTTAAACAATATTTCCTTAAATTTTACATAAAATAGATACTGAATTTAATACAGAATATATTGTTGAAAGAATTATCTCTCTATCTCATCCCGTTTTTGAGTTATTCAACTTTAAACCACAAAAACCACATTTTGTACATTTTTAGTCGTAGTTCTACACATGTCACGTAACATATGACAAAAACTAAAAGATTCCGCACGTAGGTAAACTTTTTTCCGAGATCCGTCACACGAGTGCACTCGAAGCAACAAATCTTCGCCCCGCCAAGAGGAAAATCAGAGCAGACGAAAAGCGCCGGCTACTTTGTTATGCACCCCCGCGAACAAACCGCAGGCACTATTTCATTGTGATTTATTCGCACTTCGGCGAGCGAATCGAAAAAAGCCGGGCGCTGAATCAATCAGCCATTATTTCGGATGTTGGCATTAGGTGCTGCTGCAGAAGATATACCACCGAGGTTAAACGATAGGTCAGTGTCACTTCAAGACAGTGAAGAGGACGTAAATAATGTGCCCACAAGAAGTGCATCCGAAACAAAAAAAGAATCTCGAATCTTGAATCTTGAAATGTCATTTGAAATGCTAATAATAATTATATGCCAGAGTGTGTGCATTGTGCACCGCACGCACAGAAGTGAATATCGATTTTTAATCTTTGCCACAGTGCGCTAGATAACAATGGGGCGCACTTTTCATCTCCGCTCTCTGGGGTGAGTTGTTCTGTGGCTTTTAATTTTTTTCTGTGTGTATGTATGCGGAACGTCGCCCCCGGCCCTGGAAGGGTGCATCATGCAGCATGCAACATCTGAGCTTTGACTTTATTAATCCAGCCCCCGGTGGCGCAATGTCTCGAATTACGCGCCTGCCACGCGCGCACAATGCAACCTTCTGAGGGTTGCTGGGTTGGCACATACACCACACAAAAAAGCCGAGAAAAAATGAGTGAATGGAAATATTAACAAAGATAATTGCGAAGATGACGCGCGGAGATGGTCGGGATGCAAGCGGCGTGCATGCCAAGTGAGTAATTGAATATTTGACCTTTGACAGCACGAGGCGAGAGACCTGAGACTAGGAAGTCACGGGCGGACACGCCAGGTACCCGCAAGGTAGACACCGAGACTCAGAGGAGGAGGAAAAAGAAGAGCTGCATCAAGAAGGTCAAATCAGTATAGAATATTTTGCAGAAAAGAAGATTTTTGCAGTTTTTGTATAATTATTGCAAAAATTGAATATTTACTAAAGTTTTTGGGTAAAATGAATTATTTTTAGTATGTAAAATAAGTACAATTTAATTATCTTTAAAATGAAATAAAATCAAGTTATTATCATATTTAGTTTAGAAACTACAGCAATTTTAATAGCAAAATGCGAAAATTGTAAAATGCCTAAAAATTTGCTTTTTGCAATTTATAAGTAAACTAATGATTTAATATTAACGAAATTTGGCATTCTTATAAAATAAGTAATTATTTATTCAATGGCAAAGTAATCCGACAAAAATAATAATTTTCATTAGGTTATACTTAA